GGTCAGCTGAGTCCGAATGCTTGGGCATTTTGCTGGCTTTGAAAAACAGATAAGTAAACTTTATTAAGAAGCTTATTTTGGTGTTGTATAGGATTACACTCTGAAAGCATATCAAAAGTGTGATATCGAATACTGGCATGTTCGATATATTTTCTTTTATACATCAATTAAGGAAAGATTTTGCCCATCTGTTTGGAAGTGTAGATGAGAAAGCAGTGTAGTGTCTATTTCTGTGCATTATCAGGACTCCATTCTGTGTTAGGCTTATGCCGTGTTGGGTGTAGGCATTAGCGATGAATCTTCTGTCTCCTGAGATTATTTAATGCTTGTGAGCTTGTGTCAATACTAGGGAATGGGTGTTTACTTGCCAGATCTATTCACTCCTGGCTAGGAGTTTACAAAGCCACATTTAGAAAATGTATACACTAGACAGTAAATATTTGTTGAACAGGTTGGACATTCTCTGACCTCAAGGCCTTTGCACTTGCTATTCCCCTGGCCTGAGATATCCTTAGTTCCCACTTCTTGACTTCAGGTCTTTCTCAAATGTCACCTTTTCAAATGAGCCTCATCTCAACGTTCCCTACCCCTCAACTTATCTGATTATTCGGTTCATCATATCTCCTTGCATTAATGCAGGTGCCATGAGAGCTGGGATTGTTGTCCATTGGCTTACTGGTGTATTGCACAAATAGATTTTTATTACTTGAATGACAATAATTAATTTAATGGTTACAGTTGTCACTTTTATTTGGGCATAATTTCCTTGTAAATAATTCAGACGCTAATTTGAACTGCATCAAGGGACGTAGATACTAAGATTGGACATCTGTGAGTCTATGAATATGTGGAGATGTGAAATAGGAAAGGGTCCACAGACCTGCTATGAGAGGTACATGTACAGAGGGTATCACTGTGGTCAAATCAGTTCCGTGAAGCTGGTTCACTGCTGCCTCTGGAGATGGGGCCTTTGCCACTGAATAGACCAGGCATCATAAGGATCCCTGTTACCATCCTTGAACACCTGAAATCAATACCCAGTCTTTTCTGCTAGGACTTGACCCCTATGCTTTCTCTGTTCACACTGCCAAGGTCATTTGCACTGGGAAGCTTGAAATTGGAGCCTATTTCCTCTGGTTCTTGACCCCTAGTCTGAGCAGCCAAATCCTACATGTTTCTTGACCTCACCTACTGATTGAGTTTATGTGACTAATTTTGTTTTATTCTTCTAAGCAGGCAGAAGACTTTCTGAACATGGCTGCTCCAATATCTACCATTTGCTACACTGTAATGACATCTTAGTGTTATGTGATAGGATTCATGCAGTTGGGAACATTGGAGTTTTTGAGGTTGAGCCTATCACTCCTAAGGCTCATTGGCAGGCACTGAAGTTACCTCCAGTTGTGATATCACTTTTGTCTGGTCCAACATTTTCAGCCAACTTGAAATTTCTGGTCATCTTTTCAGACTATGGCATAATCCCTGAAAGGTCTCTTTAAAATGAAAGAATGGAATTGCTTGTGGAGAAGCAGATTGGTCCCTGATAGCAAGGGCACCAGGTTGGCACATTTTGATGGAGGTGGGGGTGGGGTAGGAGGAGATAGTGTTGGAAGCTGGGCCCTGGGGCATTGACTGCAGATAGCAGACATGAGCAAATGGCACTCAAAGAGGCCGTGAATATGAAGGAGGTTAATGTGTGAGAAGAAGAGAGGTCAGAAGAGAAACAGGAGAGCATAAAAAGAGAAGCATGTGGCATCAAAAAGGATCCTCAAGATTTTGTTCCATGACCTTCTATAGTCTTACCTATAAGTTGGTACATGCTTTTTTCCCCCCTTTAAATGGACAAGAATGAATAAATCATAATCTTTGAAGATTCCTGAGTTGTGAGAATTGGTCCAATGTGCTTTGGGTTCACAATCTTACTTAGTTTCTTTTAGGTTTTTATTTATTTTTTTTTAGGTAGTAATTGGCTTGGTCTTGGAAATAAATTGACACACACAGGTCTTATTTCCTCCACGTCTTTCATGCAAATCGAGTGTTGAACAAAGAGCTGAGCCTAGGAATTACTGAACCTAGACAAGAAAGCAGGTTCAGCTTTGGGGTAATTTGGTTTGGTGCTATAAATGCCTGAAACCTTGCTGTATTTAGAAGGCATGTCCACTCATTTTGTACATGAAGTCATTATGGCATTGTGGGGTATTTGGTGTAGGGCAGAGGAGAGGGCTCCCTGGACTGGGCCATGGGGTTTGGGAATGACCCTGGCCCCTATCATGGACTCTACTGACCTATAAAAAGTATTGTTTTTCTTCTTACTGTCTGCCTTACAAGATCTGAGAGAAGAAATGAGGTAATGTCTACTTAGACCTTCGAGCTTCTCGGAAGAACGGCTTTCTACAGTAATATGATTTCCTAATGCATTTGTTTGTGTTGTAATGGAGTATAATTCCAATTACCTAAATTTCTTTAGGTACTTCCAGAATATCTGACTGTCTTGCACAGGAGAAGGAGTCTGGCTTTTAGATGAGAACTGGGCCTAGACTAGAACTCCCAAGGGTACAAGTGAGCCAGCTTGTAATTTATGAAGTTTAGGGAAGGAAGCTGGGAGATGATAGAAGGGGGGTTAAAGTAGGTAGTGATGGGCAGAGGGTGTTGTAATTATATTCAGAGAGTTTATATTGTACTTTCAAGTCATGTTGTTTTACTAAAGATCATTACCTCAATATGTTTGAAAAAATACACATTTTAATTCAGTAATATTATATATTAGAGGACTCATCTGCAATATTGATACTGCCATTATTCTCTGTATTGATAGACTCTTTAACTTCCTTCAAGATTTTTATTTTATTATGTTTCTTGGGCCACAGCCTGGTTGTTTAAAAACTTGTTTCTGACTCTGACATCAGTAGTTCCATACCACCAATTACAATTTCATTGATTCATTTGTAAAGTACCGAGTAGGTTACTTTCTTTTTGAGTAAATCTCTTTTTGAGAATAGTCATGAACAGTATAATTTTTTATATAGCCACTTTGAGCAGTGTGATTGAGTTGACTTTCTAGTCAGTCCTAAAATGAGAAGTTCAAACAAAGGGTGAAAAGTGGGGGCGTCATACATATGTGTCACCTCTGGCATACTATAAAGATGTTCACTTTGATTACAGTTATCATTATTGAACAGTTTTGTTGTAGAAGTTTCTAGAAGTGATCGCTTTTTTGGCATTTCTAACCCAGTATTTCACAAGGAGGTCAGCCTTCTATCAAGGAATTTTAAGTAACTCTTATGTTAAACCAGGAAAGAAAACAATATGCCTTCTCTTCCAGAGAGGTGACTATATACACTTTTTAATAGCAACTGATTTGTATTGTTAAAGCCACAATACTAGTCATATCCCTTTCCTGGGGGGAGGAAAAGTGTTATACTTTCATTTGCTAAATTATAGAATATAATGTAGGGAGAACACCCAAATATCCTGACACCCAAAATGTGGCCTGAGAAAATAAATTACTACCAAATTGTGTATTGCGTGCCAAGGACGTATGAAAAAAGTCACCACCTCTCAAATTCAGAACATCTCATATAAGGAAATGACATAGAACGTAGTATTCCTCTCTTAATCCTTGCTCCTGTTTCCCATGATTTCTGTTACCTGCGGTCAACTGGTGTTCAGAAGCAGACAATCCTCTGACATGTTGTCAGTAGTAGCCTGAAGCTATGTCTCATGCCTGCGTCATTCACCTCCTCATGTCATTACATAGGCATTTTATCACTTCACATCATCACAGGAAGGGTGAGTACAGAACATGAAGATATTCTGAGAGAGAGAGACTACATTCACATAACTTTTATTACAGTATATTGCTATAATTGCTCTATTTTATTATTGTTGTTAATCTCTTACTATGCCTAATTTATAAACTTTATTCATAGGTATGTATGTGTAGGAAAAACAGAGTATAAATAGGGTCCAGTATTATCAACAGTTTGGGGCATCCACTGGGACTCTTAGAATGTATCCTTTGCAGATAGAGGGGGGCCACCATACAATGGAACTTCCCTTTGAACTAAAAATTATGACTCAGTGATATAATTCATATCAAGTCAGACTGTGATAATGGTTTGGTTTTTTCTTACATTTTTAAAATGTTTATTTATTCTTGAGAGAGAGCATGAATGAAGGGAGGGGCAGAGAGAGACAGAATCCAAAGCAGGCTCCAGGCTCTGAGCTGTCAGCACAGAGCCCGACACAGGGCTTATACCCACCAACCACAAGATCGTGACCTGAGCTGAAGTCAGATGCTTAACCAACTGAGCCACCCAGGCGCCCCCGACTGTGATAATGTTAATAAAACCACACTTTTGTTGGAAGAGGTCGTCTAGAGGACATGACTGTTGGCTGACCCATGAGCTAGGCCCGGGCTGGTAGAGGTCCTCACCCTCTACCCTGTCCTTGGAAGTTGTGTTCTGCCCAGCATTCCTACAGTGGGAGCTGCTCTAAGGACGCAGCCTTGAGAGAGTAATGTGATGTTGAGACCGCACGTGACTGAGACTGGTTAAGGCCTCCATTTACATTTTTAAAATTCTGGCAGGTGGGTGTGAAGATCTACCCATCTTGCAGGTACCCAACACAAGCCTTGTAAATAAGTTTCCTTGTTTGTTAGACTACCGCCTGCCAAACTGAAGTGGTCCGCCTCTTCCTTTGGTCTCTCCCTGCCCTTCACGTGTGGAGGCTGGTGACAGAGGTTACCTGGGGAAGCTCCTGAGGTTGTAAACTCACAATTTTCTGTTCCTGAACAGCATACTAGAATTTGAGCATTTGCAAAATTTAAATGTTGTGGAATTTTATGTCCTCCAGTAAAACTTCGTGATAAACCTATGAATTTTTCCAGTTGTGCCTGAGTATAGCTAAGGGATCCTTTTGGAAAAAAAGATGGAAAGATGTCCTTTTTGTATCGATCTGTTGCACATTAAATTGTGATGTTGTGTTTGAATTTGTTTCAGAATCGAAGCAAACGCTTGGAGAAGGTCCATGTGGTTCTTGGACATAAATCGTGTGACTTGGATTCTCTCATTTCTGCCTTCACATACGCTTACTTTCTAGACAAGGTGAGGGGAAAGAAGACAATGCTTTTTATATGTGACTTACGATGTAACATCTAAAAACAAACAGTTTCTGGAAAAACGAGGAACCTATTCACTTACATTTTCATGTTCTGGTTTATTGTTGCGGAGAATCATGTTTTATGATCCATTATACAACAAATACTTATTGGTCACCTACAATATGTTAGGCACTGTCTAGTTATTTCTTATCGACTCTCTCCATGAAACATTATGTCAATAAGGTCACTATTTTCAGATTTTTAAAAATATATGATAGTTGTTTACTTTCACGGGAATTTAGAGAACTAACAAAAGTAAGGGTCAGAATGTCTTGTTTTCCTTTATCATAGCTCGTTGGTTACTCTTGCTCTTGAGGATAGAAGAATAAGTGCAGAGTAACCTGTGTGAACATTACATGAAATTACAGAGCATATTGGCTGGAATTTTCAGTAACAGAGGTATTGTATGTTGCATCTATATTCTGTTCTTGCCTTTTAGCCCTGACTTTGTACAGCAAGGTCATTCTCAGTTACTGATGATCTCCCTTGAGTGAGAATCTTTGTACTCTGTGAAGCCTATAACCTCCGTACAGAAGTGGAAAAGACCTTTTAATAAATTGTTTTCAAATTGCCATTTCATAAAATTCATCAGCCCCTGATAATGTGTCACCTAAAAAAATACATTGTGAGTGTCTTGGTGCTATTTCCAATTTCGCTGAATTTTTGATTTTCCGGAGTCTGATTTGTTTTATTCCAATTTTGTTTGGATCCTTGGCTCTGAGAGCATGTGTAGCTGATCTCGGGTGATTTAAATTCACATGAAACCCAGACTTCCAGAGTGAGCTGTGGGTGGTTTAGGGAGGCGGCTGATAAGAAAGCCAGGTAAAATATTCTGATCCCTACATATGGACTTTATATCAAATTTACCTTAAAATTTGTTGAACTTTACAAGGGGAATTAATTGGTATAAGGAGATAAATGTGCCTCTTTGAAGAAATGCACATTAAATACTTAATCCTATTAACTGGACTTTTTGAATCCTAGAAAAAAATGTTGCTTGTCTCAAGAACATAGACTTTACTGAGCAAGACTCGTCTTGCTGATAGCGGTGTGGACTCTTAAGGAGATTATATAACACCACCACCACCACTGCCGCCAACTCTTGAATGAATACAACACGCCACGGAGTGGGAAAGTAGTTGTGATAGCTAGAATGGACACAGATATGGCCTCTTTTCTCCTTCTAAGGCTCAACATCTCAGCATGGGGACAAACATAGAGTTACTGGAGGGTCACATACTGGAATTTGTTTTATCTCTGTGCCTTCCTCTTAGTTTACTGGCCCCGCCCCCTGCCAGAGGTGTGCATCTCCATTTCAGTTTTTTTCTGAGAAGGTGGCTCCTTCCTCCCAGAGTATTAGCATATTAGAATAAAGGCAGAGCTTTGCAACTGCACATGTGTGACTCTATTTAAATACTTTTCACTCTGGTAGGTAAGCCCCAGTCTACAGATGGGTTAACCCAAGCTTCAGAAAGGAAAATGGCATTCTCCAAGTCATACAGCAGAGGCGGGGGCTAGACATCTTCTTCTGATCCAACCTCCAAAAAGATCCTGCTGGGACAGGCTCGGGCCATATGTACTTGACTCAGGTTTCAATATCAGGAGTTGGATATAACTCAGTCAACTAATTAGGAAAAATAACTTGCTGTACATACATTTCTAATGATTATGGGGCGCCTGGGTGACTCAGTTGGTTAAGCGTCCGACTTCGGCTCAAGTCATGATCTCATGATTCGTGGGTTCGAGCCCCGTGTTGGGCTCTGTGCTGACAGCCAGCTCAGAGCCTGGAGCCTGTTTCAGATTCTGTGACTCCCTCTCTCTCTGACCCTCCCCTGCTCACGCTGTCTCTCTCTCAGAAATAAATAAAACATTAAAAAAAATTTTTAATGATTAGCACACAACTGTGATTCAGGATTAGCCTGACCGTTAAAAGAAAAAGCCCTTTGTTGGAATGGCTTTGTGCTTTATATACTATAATGATTGGTGATTCATTTGTTTCACTCAGCAAACATGTATTAAATACCTACTACTTGCCAGATGGGTTTATGCACTAGGAAACATAACTGAACAAAAAAAAAGACAAAACTCTCTGCCTTCTTAATGTTAGGAAAGGAGGTAGATGACAAAGATATTAAAACTGTGTAATAAGCACTATGCTTTGACAGATCTGGTGATGATGTGAGAACAAAGGCCACTTACTTTATGCAAAAATTCAGTGTCACCAATCCCCCCCCTGTCTCAGGGATATTTGGGGTTTATTGCTGTGCGTTCATAGTAATTTTTAAAAGCACCTTTATTTTTTTATAAAATTCCTGTAGAAAAATAAGTTTATTTTTGTGAATCTGAAATTCTCCCACTCCTACCGTCTCCTGTTTCCCCTTCTTACCATAATTGTTTAAAACATTTTTAAAACTTTATTTATTTATTTTGAAAGAGGGAGAGCGAGCGCACATGAGCACAGGTGGGGGAGGGGCAGAGAGAGAGGGAGACAGAGAATCCCAAGCCGATTCCGTGGTGTCAGCGCAGAGTCTGACGTGGGGCTCTAACCCACAAACCAGGAGATCATGACCTGAGCCGAAGTGAAGAGTTGGGCGCTTAACCAACTGATCCAACCAGGCGCCCCCACCAAACAATTTTTTAATAACAAGTTTGTTAATATGTGATGTTTTTGTAATATAAGAAATGAACAGAGATCTGTCTGGCAGTTTGTGGGTCAAATCTGGCTCATAAATGAGTTTTTGTTCATTGAAAGAGTCTTATCCTGAGCCTGAAATGTTTGCACGTAAACCAGTGGCTGGAGCTCGGTGGCAGGCACCCATGTAGATGGGACGTACGTGCCTTTCTGTGTCACACCGCCCTCACCCACCCTGCGGGAATCCTTCTGATTTTCTGCTAATTCCATAAAGTCCTATGAAGTTGTTTCTCCTGAAAAGGAGAATGTGTGTGTGTGTTTGTGTGGGTATATATATATACATATATATTTTTTTATATACATATATTTATATATATATATATTTTTATATATTTATTTTTTTAACTGTGGAGAGGTTGACATGAGACATAAAATATTTAAACTAAGGCACGAGAGGTTTCATGGGAAGTAACAAGCATTTAAAAAATATTAGGGGCCATTTACCTGTAGATGCTGCTCTACTAATTGGGTTCAGGAACAACGGATTCTGAATGTCTTCTGGGTTAGTGAGGCCAAAAGACTGTCGTTCCCTTTACACACCTTTGGGCTTGTAAAAAATGGTGTTGTGCTTTTCCCCATCGCTCTTGTCGTGACTCAGTCAACTTTTTTTCTTGGTAGGTCAGTCCGCCTGGAGTTCTCTGTTTGCCAGTGCTGAACATACCAAGAACTGAATTCAATTACTTCACCGAGACAAGGTTTATTTTAGAAGAGCTGAATATCTCTGAATCATTCCACATATTCCGAGATGAAATTAATCTGCATCAGCTAAATGATGAAGGGAAGTTATCTATAACGCTTGTTGGCAGCAACGTGCTGGCGAGGTGAGGCTCTGGAGGGAGCTTTGATCCTTTAACCAAGGCTTTTAGGGAAAAGTATCACCTCGTTCAGGATTTTGGTGGCCTCGGGAGATGCATTACAGGCAGAGACCATCAGAAGAAAAAGAATATTTTTTCTTCTTGTATGACAAAATGTGGGCTATACCAGCTCTCTCTTTTGGTTTTTGCATTTCAAATATGACATCTTTGAATGGAAAGTTCTTGTAGAATGGACCAAAATTCATTTTGAACCATTGAAGCAGTTTGTTACAGCAACACAGCACAGTCCTATGTATTGATGGTGTCAATGTTTAATGAAGGCTGAAATTACATACTCACTAAAACCAAAAGGTTCTTGGGGCGCCTGGGTGGCTTAGATAAGCGTCCGACTTTCGCTTAGGTCATGATCTCGCGGTTCGTGGGTTTGAGCCCCGCGTCAGGCTCTGTGCTGACTGCCAGCTCAGAGCCTGGAGACTGTTTCAGAGTCTGTGACTCCCTCTCTCTCTGACCCTCCCCTGCTCACACTGTCTCTCTCTCTCTCTCCTAGAAATAAATAAAAAAACATTAAAAAAACAAACAAAAGGTTCTTAAGAAAGAAATCTAAGTGGTGAAATGAAAAATTACAGATATCAGTCATTCGGGTGATCTGGTCATTGACTCATCCATTCACACCATTGAGCAGGATAGATTTTTGAAAGTCCATGCAGTTCAAACTTGTTATTTGGTGGACAAGAAATCTGAGACCCACTGTTGCAAATGACTTGTCCAGGGTACCACATGCAGTTAGTAGAAGAGTTTGGATTCAATGTGGGTCCTCTGCCTCCATCAGTAAGTACTTAGGAGTTGCTAACTAGTGCAAGAATCTCAAGATACGTAAAAAGGAATGAGACAAATTGTCTACCTTCAAGGGCTTCCCAATCCAGCACAAAGATGCCCTCTTTTTAAATCTTTAAAAAATTTTTTTTAAAATGTTTATTTATTTTTGAGAGAGCAAGAGACAAGAGCATGAGTGGGGGAGGGGCAGACAGAGAGGGAGACACAGAATCTGAAGCAGGCTCCAGGCTCTGAGCTGTCAGCACAGAGCCTGACAAGGCCCATGAACCCACAAACCGCGAGATCATGACCTGAGCCGAAGTTAGACGCTTCACCAATGAGCCACCCAGGTGCCCCAAGAGATGCCCTTTTGATAAGGTCTATAGTGCTACTGAATGAAGAGTTGCTAGTAAACACCTCAGAGGTTTGAGACAATAGTTTTGTTTTGTTTTTTTTGCACACTTTGCCAATTTGCTAATGGTTTAGGACATCAACCAGTGGATACGATGTCAGTATGCATGAAATAAAAACTTGCACTAGTACCTAATTTTTTATTTAACCCTTTTTAGGAAGCATATTTAATTATGAATACATTGAAATGCCAGTCATGCGGTTCATTCGGCTATAAAGAGTTTTGAACACAGTCTGCTTGCGTGGGGCTGTTTTTATCCCCATGCCATTTGAAACACACATTCTTCTGGATATTTATTCATCAGTGGTTGACTGAGCATTACCGGATGTTATGTGACCGATTTCAGTGATCAGTGTTTGGGATGATCACCTCCCTGACTAAGTTTATGTGCTAACTTTTTCAAACCAACTAATGCAAGTAAATATTGATAAAGACAGTGCAAGATGCTGAAGGAATCTTGGGAAATCAGAATCTTTGGAAGAGTTTTGCTTCCAGTTAAAATTGAAATCCTGTTGGTTTTGGGGCTGATACTGTGCACTTCAGCTTCAGGACTGTTTAAGAAACAGAATGCTTTCCAAACTGAAATTGAGATCTTTGTTTCCTTCATTCCTACTCACTTGTTTCTGGTAGATGGAAAGACCAACGCCAGTCTTATTCACTTCTTTCTTTCTGCCTTTGATAAAGTCAACTCGTCTCACATGTAAAGAATGATGGTGGGGGCGCCTGGGTGACTCAGTTGGTTAAGTGTCTGACGTGGCTCACGATCTCACGGTTCAGGAGTTCGAGCCCCGCGTCGGGCTCTTTGCTGACAGCTTGGAGCCGGGAACCTGCTTTGGATTCTGTGTCTCCCTCTCTCTCTGCCCCTCCCCTGCTCACACACTGTTTGTCTCTCTCCAAAATAAATAAACATTAAAAAATATTTTTTAAAAATTAAAAAAAAAAAGAATGATGATAGAAGTAAATAAGCCCATAGTCATTTTTCTCCAGCGCTGTGACCAGATGTGCAAACTATGGACCCACATTATCAGAGTTCAATCACAAGCTAGTCTGCTTCTAAGCTGTGTGAACTTGGACAGATTTCTTAACCACTTTGTGCCTCTGTTTCCCCATTATAAACTTAGTATTTTTATTTTTATTTTTTTGTTTGAGAGAGGGAATGTTAGGCAGGATCGACACTCAGCATGGAATCTGATGTGAGGCTTGATCCCATGACCTGGGCATCATGACCTGAGCCAAAATCAGTATTTGGATGCTTAACCAACTGAGCCACCCATGCACCCCTGTTTGCTTATTTTAAAGATGAGAGCTTCATTAGGACCCATTTCATAGGGTCATTTTATAGTATAAGACTTGGCAATATTCCTTCTGGCCTGATATTAGTGTCTAGTAGTGGAAGCTCAGTAAATGATAGCTATTATTATTAATTATTATTATTATTATTCAGCAGTAAAACAAGATAGAGGTGCTATGGTGTGAGGGAGCTACTACTAAGCCTCTTGGGGAGGTAATTAGGTGAAATGGCATGTGAAGACACACAGATAAGGGTCAAATGAGCTTACTCCTATTTGGGGCTGTTGAGAGGACGTCAGTTGTGTGAGAGTAGAGATTAAATACTTCCAGAAAGTAACAAAATGTGCCATATCCCTTTTTTTTCCTCTCCTCCATTTGCTTTACAGCGAGGACAAAACTTTAGAATCAGCGGTTGTCAAAGTCATTAATCCGGTGGAGCAGAGCGATGGCGGGCTTGAGTTCCGAGAGTCTTCCTCTTCCCTTGTGGTGAAGGAGATTCTCCGGGAGGCTCCTGAGCTCATCACCGAGCAGCTGGCTCATCTCCTCAGAGGTGAGAGATGGCTCTTTCTCTTAAATACTGGAAGGCTTAATGGAGTGTTTCTCGACTTGCTCATGCAGAATGAGTGTGATCCATTCTTGGGTTAACAACCCCTTTCAAGACCACGGGAAGCTTCATCAGGGAAGCAGGGAGTAAAGAGTTTGTTAAAGAGTAGCATGATACTGAATATTAAAAATGTGCATTTAAAAATAGGCATGAAGGATCGTTGCTGTTTCACTAGTAAATAGAACTGCTGCACTTCTGCTGGGGAGCCGGAATAGCTCCTCTGGCCATCCAGAAGCTTCCAGAGGTGATTCTGGCCCCACAGCAGGGTGACTAAGGGCCAGAATCCACATCCTCACAGTGAAATATCTCCTGATACTGATAGGTGCTTGGATGGCAAAATAAACACCTTTGAATTTGGTGATTTTGTGTAGGGACTTCTTTTTTAAACATTTTTTTACATTTATTTTTGAGAGACAGAGTAAGATAGTGCACAAGTGGGGGAGGGGCAGAGAGAGAAGGAGGCACAGAATCCAAAGCAGGCTCTGAGCTAGCTGTCAGCACAGGGCCCTACATGGGGCTTGAACCCACAAACTGAGATCATGACCTGAGCTGAAGTCAGACACTCAACTGACTGAGCCATCCCGGCACCCCTGCATCAGGACGTTTATAGTCACTTTGTCACTTCATTGGCATTGTAACGTTTTCTGTCTTAACTTAGCCTCTTTTAAGCACTGTGTTCCCAGCATATCATCATCAATTACCCTTTTTGATCTTTCACTTCCACTCATAGAAACCACCACTTTCAAAAAGTGCTTTCTAACCTAGAAATTGTTACTTAACTTTGGTGGCCCAAAATTACCACAAAAATTCAGTATTGTCTCTTGTAGGCCAGCTTTGGATGTTATATAAAGCCTTTTTTTTCTTGCTTTCAGTAATCCGTCTTGAATGTGGTAGACATAGATTTTTCTCGGATTTAACACAAGAAAGTGAAAAATGGTGATTAACAGACTGAAAGCATTTTTTTAAAGGAAAGAGAAGACCAAGAATATGTTGATGCCACTGTTTTTTAAATTTTTTTTTAATTTTATTTATTTATTTTGAAAGAGAAAGAGAATCCCAAGCAGAATCTGCACTGACCGTGTAGAGGCCTATGTGGGGCTTGAACTCACAAACTATGAGATTGTGACCAGAACTGAAATCAAGAGTCGGACGCTTAACTTATCCACCTAGATGCCCCTGACGCTACTCTTTTGAGGACACTTTCCTTCACTTCCTCTGTCTCTTCACAAGGTGGAGAGGAAAAGGTCCAAAAGTTGTGTGACTCCTGTACATAGTTTAGAGCTAATGGCCCCAGTAAACCTGTTTTAAATCTTTTTCTGACAATGGATATCTGTAAAAATGCTCTGTGGGAAACTGTGCCCCCAACTAAACCTACTATGATCATTTATCTCTGTGGCAAAGCAGAAGGAAAATAAAGGGAACGGGGGATCCCAGCCACGAGGGAAATTGTTCAGCAGTGCAACTGCGCAATGCAGGCTAACAGTAGAGAGACTTTTGTTTAAATTTCTTGTGAACTAAGAAGCTCGGTTTATTGTTCAAGAAATACATGTGTTATTTAGCCGGAACAAAAGGTGGTCAGTCCATGAATGGCTCATCATCCTGCTTTTCTGTAAATAGTAAAATCAGATCAAACTGTGATACTGTGATACACTGGCACAAAGGTATGATTTTGTTGTTCATGATGATGATATTGATGAGATTCAGAGTTAGGGGATTAGAAGGGATGCAGACCCTTTTATGAGTTATGTTGGTCTTAGTTGGCGGAGCTACCAAGAATTTGTAGTATGGAAAGGGACCTTGGGTTTTCTTCTCATTGGAGGTTTTTCGGAAGGTTAGGCTTGCTTGGGCACTGGGATGTAAAAGGATAAAGTGCCTCTACGTGCAATGACCGAGGATACAATCCCTGTCATGAAAGAGTCCAGAGACACTAAGCCTGGAAAGTGGCTTAATACTGTGGAAAGAAGGGTCTGGAGACCTTTGGCCAAAGTGCACGTGGATGTTGTACATATATGGAGGGGCGATGGAACATCAGTCTTTAGTAGGTGTCAAAGGGAATCAAGTCGAATTTTGTTGTATTCACTCAACTCCAAGTTCAATTTCATGGGCTTCTGATCATGTATTAGCACCAAACCCAATGGGAGGTTTTTGATGGATTTACAAATAATTTTAGCATTCTTTATTCTCAAAACATGGATAACTCTCTTTCCAAAGGGTTTTCGCTATAAACAGTGAAGGTGTTATTTTATATGGTGGGGTGCTCAAAATAATCATTAATTTGACACACATTTCTAGAATGTATTTATGCATTCTTCTGCATCTTGAAGGAACATAAAATTTTTATCCACACCTTTGCCATAAAGAATTTTGAAAATTGTCTCTTTCCAGATGCTGTGAGACTAGATATTTATGGCTGAGACTTGGAAGAGTCTTTAAAAGTATCCTAATTAGACCTCTTTGGGGGCTATATTATTATAAACTTTATGCCAAAAAGAACCCCTCTGAATTTACTATGAAAAAAAGACTTAACCAATTTGATTATTCTTTGCCTTTCATTCCTGTGGTCATCCCCTAGAACACACCATGCTGAGGCACGCTGGGGTGCTGTCAATGGATTTCAAGTGGGTCGTGATATTGATCCCCCACCCTTGGAGAGGACCCTCTGTATATCTCTTAGCCCACTGTGTTGGGGGAAAAATGGTACTTTCCTGAGGGTTCCTCAGTGTGCAAGAGGTCGGACCTACTCTCCCTTAGCCTTGCTTGGTAAATTCCTTCTCTTCTGCTCAACCTTCAAATATTGCAGTGACCTCGAACTTCATCCTGGGACATTTATTCTGTATACATTATACTTTTTTCTGAAGTTTTAATTTAAATTCCAGTTAGTTACTTATAGTGTAATATTAGTTTCAGGTGTGCAATATTGTGGTTCGATGTTTCCGTACGTCACCTGGTGCTCATTACTACAGGGGCCTGCTTAATCCTCATAGCCTATTTCACCCGTTGCCCACCCACCCTTCAGGTAACCTTCAGTTTGTCTCTATAGTTAAGAGTCTGTTTCTTGTCTATACCCTTTCCTTAAATGACCTCATTTCGTTCTGAGATTTCAGATCTCTGTAACATTACAGGTTCATCTCCAGTGCCCATGTGCATATCTAACTCACACCACCACCTTAACATGGCCGTCATGGACCCCGTCAGTTCCCTGTACCTCCAAACCTGCTTTTATCCCAACTTCCCCATGTCCGTAAAAGGCCCTGCTGACTCACCATGCGTTACTCAAGCCACAGTCCAGGAGTTATATTTGATTCTTTCCTTTACCTTTCCTCCCACATTGATCCATTAGCCAGTCCTGCTGACTCTCTGTCTACAACATAGCCCGAATCCATCCACTTTCCCACGATGGCTCCTAGTAATGCAGTTGAAGCTGCCATTCTATCTCTCTTCCACTAATGGGATGGCCCTCTTTCCTCCATAAAATCTATTGTCTACAAAGCAGTCAGAATGGCCTTTTGAAAGTATAAACCAGTCTTATCAATCTCCTGAAACTCAAAATCCATCACACTCAAAATCCAAGCTCCATCCCCAAGCCCCACAATCTACAACCTGACCTCTCTCCTGCCCTTTGTTTTCCTATTGTGTGTTCCAGGGACAGGGGCTTTTCCAGGTATGCCAGACTCTTTCCCCCCTTGGCGATCTATACAAGCTGTGCCTTCCTTCTGGAACTCTTGTTTCTATCCACCTTTTGCTCCCTCACTCCAGCATGCCAGCCTCGTGAGAAAGGAGACCTTATGTGTTTTGTTCACTGCTCTACCAAGAAAGGAGACCTTATGTGTTTTGTTCACTGCTCTACTGATGTGCCTCAGCCACTTGGAATAGTGTCTGTCACACAGTAGAGCCTCAGGAAATACTGTTGTAAGATGCATTGTGCACCACTGTGGATATACTTTCTACTTTTTAATGTTTATTTATTTATTTTGAGAAAGAGAGACGTGGGGGGGGGTGAGGAGGGAAGTGGGAGAGAGAATCAATCCCCAGCAGGCTCCCTGGGGGCTCGGTCCCACGAATCATGAGATCATGACCTGAGCTGAAATCAAGAGTCAGCCATTTAACGGACTGAGCCTCCCAGGCGCCCCTATACTTTCTTTTTTTATGAATGTATTGATTTAGTGAGTTCTGTGAAATAGTAACATCCATTTCATTCCTGCCCATCCTTCCAACATTCTTAATGTCCAGAATTTGGATGTTGTTCTTTCCAGTAATGAACATGCTTCTTATTTTTCTTTATTTAGCTTTTAGAAATCCTAGTAGAATTTGCTCTGTTCTTTGACAAGCCTTTGTTTTATTTTCATATTTTGTTTGTTTACGTATACATATATAATTGCATATATAATTTTAACCCTTTTGTGGAGTGTACTACATATAGAGAAAAGAAGACAAAACATAAATATAAAAAGCTCAGTGTATTATCACAAAAGGAGCATCCTTTTAACAATTACCCAGGTAAAGAAATTGAGTAAGAAGACATCTTTGTTCCCTTTCCCATCACTACTCAGTCCCTCCCTAACGATAACCAGTGTTCTCATTTTTAGGGCCCACGTTTCCTTGTTTTTCTTCATAGTTTTACTCCCCCTGGATGTAGCCATAACACCACGTATTGGTTTCGCCCGTTTTGCATATTTATAGAAATGGAATTGTATAGCATATACTCTCAATTGTTATTAGATCTCTAGATTTACATTAGATGTACTATTTGCAGAAGTCAGTCATCTATCATTTATCTGTTTGCTACTCCAGTCCTTCCTTCTCTCGTAGAATATTTGAAGCTGTTTACAAAAATGCATGCAAATATAATAAAACAAGAAAAAAGAATCTAGAAAAACAAAAACATATCGAGAAAGGAATAAAATCAAAATAGGATAAAAATATTGAAGGAGTAAAAATTGTGTTCA